CAATGTCTGATGCGCCAGCGACTTTACATGTAAAAGTTATGGTAAATAAATAAATGAGAAAATTGCAAATAAAAACCCCTAGTATGTAAAATTGTGATTTGGGACCCTAAATTTGGAAAATAACAAATAAAAACCAGGTCTCACTTTTACAAATATAAAATATGGGTGAAATGTCTAAAATATCCCTAAGTCAAATTGTGATTTGATCTACTGAAGTTGTCATTCGCTAAAGTGAACTTGTCATTTCCTATAATCAACTTGTTATTTGGCATACTTTTAGCCAAGTTGTGATTTGGTCTACTGAAGTTATCATTCGTTAAAGTGAACTTGTCATTTTTTATCATTTGACTGATAGACATTTCAGACATTTCACCATGATTTCATATTTGCAAAAGTGAGATCGGGTCCTTATTTGCTATTTTTCAAATTCAAGATCCCAAGTTCCAATTTCACATATTGGGGGTCTGTATTTGTAACTTTTCCTAAATAAATCACCATCCACATCGTCGTCATTATTTATAAAATTTGAATTACAAACCTTGTTGGGATGGACCCTCCAAAATGTGTAATGTGTGCTTCCTTACATGTTTGTGTATGTATATTATTTCCCCACATTAAAGTCCTGTTTAAAATTGAAACTAAATAGCATTCACATGTCAAGTTGAAGTTTTCCTTTTCCTATAAAAAAATGTATTTGATTTGAAACATTTTGATTGGCCGTAGCATATGAATTAGACGTGATATTGTTAGAGAATATAATAACATTGTACTACCTTCGGTTCTTAATATAAGACCTCGTTTAACTTTTATTTTTGTGCTGAATATAAGATCCTAATCCACTTTGTCTCTAATATTTATATATTTTTTTTCAAGATAGGCCTTCTAACAGTAGTAGTTCTAGTCAATACACTTGATTAGTAAGGATATTTTAGAAAAGACAACAGCTATTTATGACAAATAACTAACTTAACTTCTTTCCTTAATCTCTTCAAATTAATCAACTAACTCTTATAATTAGGACTGGAGGTAGTATTAAAAAATGTACTCGTATTTGATTTGAAACGTTTTGATTGGGCAGAGCATATGAATTAGACGTGATATTGTTGGAGAATATAATAACATTATATTAAAAATGTAAGAAACAAATTATTAATACCTGTTATGTTAAAAATCTTACAAGTCCTAAAAATTTGGAGAATGTAATGAGTCATTGGAGAAGAAAAAATAACAAGCTTATTAGAACCTACCAAAACACAATAAACGTGAATCCAAACGTGATCAAGGGATTATAATTAATTCAATTTATTATTCCCATCATTATCACTTTAATATAAAAAATTGATATATTATATACCCACATTAGATTCATTTAAAATTCTCATCATCATCATCATTTTAAAATAATAAATTAATTCATTTCACGTGGCAATACTTTTCAGCTCACTCATACAGATCAAGACAAGAATGCCCACATCATTGATGGGGCAGGTTTGGTAATTGGCACATTCAAAAGAAAGGTAATGCTCTAATGCGTAAAATAAAATATATGTAGAATTTCTTACATATTTTTCATCATAATCGAATATTTATGTGGCATTAGCTAGCTAAAATTAAAACAAATGTTATATGTATCGTGGATGTCCCGTGGTTGATTAGAAAGTAAGAAAATTCCAACTTCAGATTTCGCTTGAAAAAAGACCAAAAAAAAAGGATGAAAAAGGCAATGGGCTTGTTTAGTTTCTTGTTTTGAAAATGATTTGTTATTTTTAAAAACAGGAAAATAAAAAAACTTGTTTAGTAATTTGTTTTTAGTTGATTTTTTAAAAAACAAAAAAAAGTAACATGTTTCTGAAAACCAAAAAACCAAAACAATTTTTACATGTTTTTTTTATTTTTATTTTTATGTTTTTTATTTTTTGTTTTGAAAAGTTTCGAGAAATTTTCTCCTCTTTTCATTTACTTCCACCACTTATCATTACCAGCAACAATTATCACCTGCCAAGTATGGTTTTCTATGGTTTTTTTCAAACATGATTTTTTAAAATTATTATCCAAATAAATTTTTTTGTTTTCAAAAGTTATTCTAAAAAATAATTTTATAAAATTGTTTTGAGAAGAAAAAAACAAAGAACAAAAACAAACAGACCCAAAATCCCCCAACTCATACGCATGAAACAAATGAGAAGGCTTATACTAAGCAAAAGTCTCCTAAACAATCTACTACATACCAAGCTATTTATCTGTAACAATCTACTTCTCCGATTATTAATATAAAACCTATTTAATTAACTTGATTAGATGAAAAAAGTTAGGTAAGTTAGTTAATTATAAAAAATATAACATGTTTTTTCTAAAACACCATAATCATCTTCCTTAATACCTCTTTTACTTGATTATGGTTAAGGGAGTATTTATAAGGGTAATTTAAAAAAATTGATAAATATGATAAATAAATCTTATATTTAAAATTAAAATCAACTTAATAATTAGGTTCTATATTAAAAACTGGAGGAGTACCAAAAAGAAGGAAACAAATTGACTGTCTCAGTCTACCAAATAATTGCTAAATATTTGAATCACTTTTTATTCGATTTATCTTAATTACAGTTGATGACTTTTAAGGTGTGTGATAAAACTCTCGTGTCATCCTATATTTCTCTAACCAGCTCTTGAATTGTTGTAAACAGAGCGCATGGGAACGATTTTTGGCATTAAGTAGACTGATGAGCATCAAGAGCTTATCACCATTGCCCACCATTCACATCTAATACTACCTCCAGTCCTAATTATAAGAACTAGTTGACTAATTTGAAGAGATTAAGAAAGTAAATTGAGTTAATTGTTTGTTTTAAATAGGTGTTGTCTTTCCTAAAATGTCTTTGCTAATTAAGTGTATTGACTAGAACTATAATTATTAAAAGATTATCTTGAAAAAAATTGAGTAAATATGATAGACAAAATGGATTGGGATCTTATATTTAGGACTAAAATAAAAATCAAATAAGGTCTTATATTAAGGACCGGAGGTAGTAATTTGTAAGGCTTAGATTCAATTATTTTTTTACTTTTATTTTCAATATAAAAATATTCTAATGTGCATAAAATTTGAAATAAAGATAAACCAGAGGAATGAAAGCCAGCGGTTTAAATTGGACCATGACTCTTATCCACGCCGACCACGAATTCATGGTACTTGAAAACGACCACTCGTATGTACTCTATGGCCCGCCTCGTCCTCTGTCACTATATAACACACAGCAAAATTCGAACCAACACACATAATTAGTTGAAGATTGACATTGAAGAAGGCTCAAAAGCTCCATCATGGGAAGTGCCTCCATGCTAGCCGCTGTTGCCATGAGAAGGTAGGCCAAAATTAGAGTTTCATCTATCAGTTAATGGAACTATCAACTTCCCATTATGTTTCAAGTTTTAATGTGTATCCTTGTAAGTAAAATCATTCACTTTCAGGCTTGAAGGTAAGGTGGCTCTGATCACAGGCGGCGCAAGTGGAATTGGCGAGTGTACTGCAAGGCTCTTCTCTCAGCACGGAGCCAAAGTGGTGATCGCTGATATCCAAGATGACTTGGGTCACTCCGTTTCCAAAAGCATCACAGATTCTTCATCTTCTTCTTCTTCTTCTTCTTCTGCTACCTACATCCATTGCGACGTCACAAAGGAAAAGGACATCGAAAACGCAGTGGACACTGCGGTTTCGAAGTACGGCAAGCTTGACATCATGTTCAACAATGCTGGTATCGTCGGTGTCAACAAAACCAGCATCCTCGAAAACCACAAATCCGAATTCGAGGAGGTGATTAACGTGAACCTGATTGGTGTTTTTCTGGGGACCAAGCATGCAGCGAGGGTGACGGTCCCCGCACGACGCGGCAGCATTATATCAACGGCTAGTGTTTGTGGCTGTATCGGTGGGGTGGCTTCACATGCGTACACGAGCTCGAAGCATGCAGTGGTGGGCCTGACGAGGAACACCGCCGTGGAGCTCGGACGGTTTGGGATTCGGGTGAACTGTGTGTCGCCGTACGTGGTGGCGACACCGTTGGCCAAGGATTTCTTCAGGCTTGATGATGAGGGAGTCCATGGGGTTTATTCTAACCTTAAAGGTGCAAAGCTTGAACCTCAAGATGTGGCTGAGGCGGCACTGTACTTGGCAAGCGACCAGTCTAAATATGTGAGTGGCTATAATCTTGTGGTCGATGGAGGATTCACAATCACAAATCCCGGTTTCACTGTTTTTGGGAAATAAAGAGTGAATTGACTGTCACGAAAATCTGAGTCATGTTTTGGGAGATTTGTGTAGGTTTTTCCTCTCTGTCTTTGTCCGATTGGATCACTTTCAGTGTGCGCTTTTGGATTTGATGGATGTTCTATTTGTAATAAACTAATCTATTATATATCCCTACTTTGTTAAGTAGCTGTACACCTCTTTTCACATTATCACAGTAACGAGTGAAGGCAGAGTAATGAAGAGATATTGTTATTGATGAATGTACACTACAGAGGGAGTACATTTGGATATATATATGCGTGTATATGGCTGTAGTCAAATTGAAGAGAATGGGAAATTCCATTATATGCCTAATTAAGCTTTCAGTGTGTCCTTTTAGATTTGAAGAATCTTTATTTGCTTCTGCAGGAATGAAAACTCTGATTTTGATTCATCATGATAAGAACACAAAACCTGTGAGGTGAAGATTATTTTTAAAGATTATCTTATTTAGAATATTTTTTATCACGTTCTTAAAATGAGTGGCCTTTTTATGTTTTTATATATATATATATATATAACTATTTTTTTAAACGCCAATCATTGTTCAGGGGTCCCAAAGACTTCGGCCACATTGTAGAAGTGAATGGCTTTTCATTTACTTCTAGAAAGATTATCAAGACCATAAGCATACTTCCCCCGTATGCAGGCTTTCAGACTATTGTTTGCCTTTTGATTTACATATTTCTCTGTCGTAAGATTTTAGACTTTGCTAATCCCCTGTCTCTATGTGACTGTAATAACACAACACAGCGCAAAAGCTAATCATACACTTCCAAAGCAGTTTCACATACTGTAGTAACTAAATATATTTCTAATTGACAGAACAGCAAAATTATTTCCATTTTCTCACACAACAAAGACTAGTCCCTTGACAGATCTCTAACCTCGAAAACCAAGCCCAAAGTAGATGCCTTCAAGGGAAATTTTCTTCTGCAAAAAGGTATAAACTCAGATCAAGGCTAATTAAATATGAAAGCAATAGTTAAAAGCAAAGAATGGGGAGAAACCTAGGAGTATTACCGGTTAGCTTACGAGTCACCTCTTCGATTTTGCTATTCTCAAGGCTGCCTTGACATAAATCCAGTCTGTCACATTGCTCAAGAACCTGAAGTAGGCGTGTCTCCAAGAACGGTTGAAAAGTATTGAGCCAAAAATACCCCAGAATCCTATTATAAATCCGATTGCCAAACTCCAATAAAATCCTTTGGATATGAATGAATCCTCATCTTCTTGGACCCCAGTAGGCTCTTGAGGTGTGTTCTCCTCATGACATGATTTATCAAGTGGTTTTCCACAGAGATCAAGATTTCCCTCATAGCTTGAGCCATTAAAACTCTGCAACTGTGTGCTGATTGGGATTTTTCCAGAAAGGTGGTTATATGATAAATCCAACATGGTGAGACGGTCAATTAAAGCCAGGCTAGAAGGGATTGATCCAGATAAGTTGTTTCTTGACAAGTCAAGAAATTCCAATGACATTAACCTACCAATGCCAAGGGGAATTCTTCCAGACAAGCTGTTTCTTGATAGGTTCAAAGAAATCAGCTCAACTAAACCCCCAATTTCTTTTGGAATTACTCCACTTATTTGGTTGCTCGAAAGATCAATGCTTTTCAACAACTTACTATGCTTAAACATTTGTGGCGCACCTTTCCACATGAGCAATGCATTTATATCATATTGATAGAAGGGTGTTGATCCATTACTGGATATAGAAGGGCTCACTAAATTTGTTGATGAACTCTCTTGAATCATTGCAGTAAAGTTCTTCAAGCATCTGAAAATTTGCCCAGACAGATTATTCAGAGAGAGATCCAAGAGTTGAAGGCTTGTCAGATAACAAAGATGCAATGGTAAGCTTCCTGAAAAGCGATTATTTCGTAAGCTTAACATCTGTAACTGTTGTAATTCATCTCCTATCCATGAAGGTATAGGTCCTGACAATTTATTTTCCCCCACATCTAGCATTTTAAGGCTTGCGCAAGTCTTCAAAGACGAAGACAACTCCCCAATAAACCTATTGTTTCTCATGATCAATACTTGAAGTGCAAGAAGAGATCCAATGGAAGATGGAATTTTTCCTGATAAGTTATTGTTACTCAAATCAAGATAGATCAATGATGTGAAACCGCTCCAACAATCAGGAAGTTTACCTGATAATTGATTACTCGATATATCCAATGAGGCCAACACATCTGCTGAACTGTTATCACATAAAAAGGCAGAAGATTCGGAAAACTTGTTTGCGGACAAGTCAACAACTGAAGCACTACGTAGAAAGGATGGAATTAAGCCTTCAAATTGATTTGAAGCTAGAGATACATCAGGAGAGCCAGAAAATCTTACTGGGGAGTTTGGAATTGTGCCCCATAAGCTGTTGTATGAAACGTTGAGCCACAATAAATTTGGTGTTAAAAGACCCCAAAACCATTGTGGAACAGTATCAGATATTCCAGCATCGGAAATATCAAGAACAGAGAAGTTATTTTGAGTATGCAACCAATTAGGAAAATCAGGACCTAGCGTGCAAGATCTAAGAAATATCTGATCCAATTGAAAAGATGGGATCCAATTCTTCCCAAACTTCAATGTTAATGAGTTGTAAGAAAGGTCTAGTGTCTTCAAGTTTGACACATTTGCAAAATGTGACTCAGTGATGACACCTTTCAAAGAGTTGGAATGAATGGACAAAGTGACCAACTGAGATGAGAATCGAATGCCTTCAGGAATTGACCCATTCAAACTATTTTCTGTAAGGATTAAAGTCTCTAAAGAGGTGAATATGGAAAGATCAGATAATGTTCCAGTGATTTGGTTCCAGCTAAGATCCAAATTTTGCAGAGTGTGCCTAGCACACCCTGACAAATTCCCAAGTATTTTAGGAAGTTCTTCATTCAAAAGGTTATATTTCAAAGTCAAGGACTGTAAGCTACATACATCCCTAAACGATTCAGGTATCCCACCATGTAGTGTATTTTCAGAAAGGTCTAGATACTCTAGGGAAGTCATTTTACCTAATTCATTTGGGATAAGACCTTGTAAGCGGTTATTGCTAAGATCAAGCTCAACCAGGTTTGAGCTCACATTGGATAGCCACTGGAATATAATGGACGATGTGAAACCATTGTCAGAAAGATCGAAACTAGCAAGAGAATCTGAAAATTTCCATTTTGAAGGTGTCAAGGGAATGATATTATCATCAGATAGACTACAACCTGTGAGGCTGACTTCTCTTATGTTTGGAAGCTTCCCAATCATTTGTAGCCAGTTGTGAGAATGGTTCAGATTAATCACCTTGCTCAAGTCAAGTCGAGTTAAAGAAGTGAGACTAGATAGCCACTGACCTCCACCTTGATCCTTGTCTTCAAGTGTGAGAGCAGTATTGAATCCAAGGTCAAGCTTCTGCAACTTCGAAAGATTCCCAAGTTGATAAGGTATTGTACCTTCAAGCATATTCTCTCCCAGATCAAGATACAGCAACTGCGACAGATTTCCAAGCTGATATGGAATTTCACCTCCTAGACCGATCTTTTCAAGATTAAGATACTGCAAGTTCGAGAGATTTCCAAGTTGGTTTGGAATTTGTCCGCCAAAATAGCAACTTCTGAGATCAAGGAATCTCAAGTTCTTGAGAGAGCCAAAGAAATCCGGGACATGATTGTCTCCGAAATCATTGTAACTAAGATTCAGATATTTCAGGTCTTGCAACTCCAGCAACGATGCACTAATATTGCCCTGTAAAATGAATTGTTGTTCTCCTGCGTCACCGAATTCTCCACGAAGGTCGAGAATTTCTACGTGTCCAGTTCGGTTGCTACACTGAACTCCCTCCCATTGGCAACAATTTCTCTTTTCCTCTTCACTTCCCCAGGAAGACAAACGGCCATTGTTGTCCACGAGGCCATCTTTGAACTGAAGCAAGGCTTGCCTTTCCCTTTCTGGACACCTAACTGCTGCACCTGTAGCTCTCAAAGTATCATTGAGAACAAAAAGATGAAGCTCGAAAACCAGTATTACTTGAAGGAGTTTGAGAGAAACTGCGTTCAAGATCTTCATTCTTTTGAAAAATGATTAGACCAATGTCTGGTTTTTCGCAATTCAAAAGTTATATTACTAGTGCCTATATATAGTATGGTCTTGCCTACTCAAACCCAATGAACATGTTCACATTACTTAAGTTGAGAAGTTCTCACGGAAGTTTTAAAGCCATTGCACTGCCATCTTCTTTGCAAAGGACTCAATCACTCAGTTGCGCAAGAGGAAGATCCTTCGAGGAAAATGGCAACGAAGGACTCAAATATTTAAAATTAATAACTACTGTTAAGAGGGGCCCTGTGACTCGGATTAATCATTTTTCTGCAGATGGCTTTAGCCTTATTCAAGTGGCATCACTTTCGTAGTCTCCTCTTAATTAAATATCATTGTTCTGCCTTGGTTCAAGTATTTTGGCTCTAGTGCATATTAGTAATTGATTGATTAAAACGTAACTCAATTTAATAGTCAAGTCAAGGACAAACCATTTAGCATCACAACAGTCCATTAAAAATGGGTAGTTTAAAACACTAGATTCCATAAACTAAACAATTTGTTGGTAAGAAAATGGATGGACACAAATGACAAATTGCTGCCTAATTTTGAGATTTATGAATAGGGGCTAATTGTATTATATATATATATATATTAAAAGATAACTTTTGGGCGAAGATTCATACGCAACAATGGCTGCTTGTCGAGATATATAGTGCATATCAAAACGTGTGGAAGGAAGAAAGAAGCAACTTTGCTTTTTCCCTTAGGCCTCCAAGTTGAGTTTATCAGTTACAATATGCAGCCGCCTTCGTGCTTGCTTTCTTCTTTTACCTTTTTGGAAAAATTACCAATAAATTTCACTTCAAAAAATTAAATAGAGAGGTTCCGAGTTGAAGTCTAGACATATAGCCATTGACCTCCACCTTGATCATCATCTTTAAGTTTGAAAGCAGTATTGAATCCAAGATCAAGCTTGAGCAAAACTTCTCTAGCTGATAAGGCATTGTGCCTCTTGGTATAAATATATTCCAAGTATGAAAACAAATGAATTAATTTCAAGAAAATGATATTTTATAAATTATAAAAAAATAAATTAAAATATCACAAAACATCTTTCCAGCACGCGTACCTACCCACCAATGAAATTTTTCCAAAGGAAGTGGCCGCCCAATGGGATTGTCCATACTTCATAATCAAGTGGGCAAAGTTTACTTATAGTTAGGCTCCCTATTTCTTGTTTGAGCTACAAAAATCATGCATAAATTTCATTAATAGCTGCTAAGCCATAATAAATTAATGAAACATTTTATTTTAAAATGTCACACTCTTCACAACTCTATAAATATCATGGTTTCTAAATTCTAACAGCACATAGGCATATAGGAGTACTTATGAATCAGATTATGCTAAGGTTTTTTTTTTTTAGAATTTGAAGAGCCAAGAGGAAAAGTAAGAAGATGCAATAAACAATAATATTAGAATATAGCAGCCAGTGGAAGTGGTAGTAGCTAATCAAGTCAGTGATGGATGGCTCCGTACATTGATCGATTTCAATATTGCAAATTGCCAGATAGTGCTGTGCTGGTGGGACTCGCCACTGCTAATAATTTGAACCCCCCATCAAAGCTATAACCAATTTTAATTTTTTTTAAATTTAATCTTTTTCACCTTTTAATATTACAGTTAAAGTTTAGGTAAACATAATCGAAACTTGAAAGATGCGAACTTTAGAGGAAGGCTTGCTGGCGGGAAACCTCTCTTCTTGTTTACGGTTCTCTTATCGTTCTCTTCTCTAATTTTCACCCTCCATTTCATCTCATGGTTACGAGACACCCAATAAAATATTGACATTTGCACATACAAATATAACATTTTACTGTTTCACGTCAAAATGAAAATTATTCTCGCATATTAAATTAAACTCGAGGCAAGTTGTGTTATTCAAACGGGTATGTAGAGCAATTAGGAGAAGGGGCTTTTTTTAAAAGGGGGAAAAAAGGCAGTTAAATTTAAAATTGAAGACTCACTGTTTTGATAGTATTTTACTACAGGTCTCAGCATTTTATTGAGTGTTTCATGACCGTAAGATAAAATTGAGGGTGGGGATTAGAGAAGAGGCTGATAAGAGGACTGTAAGAGAAAGAGGAGAGGTTCCATTGTCGGATAGATATAAAATCTTGAATTTATCGCTATTCTGCAAGCGATTCACAATGTTCCTGGGCTGTGCCAAGATCACTAATAGTATGGGCCCATTATTCAATAAATGGGCCGAATGATGGGGGAGAGAAACCCAATTTTAAGCCCAAAAAGTGCTAGCTGTTGCTCCATTAGGATTAACTGACGTCCATTTGACGTCATGACAAACCCAACAAGCTGGTTGTTGTGGGAAGCATTTGGAGGGCATTTATCTGTGTCCTGGAACCAAGAAGCTCATCCTAGCATCGAACTTGAGGTCGTCTGTGGCATTCTGAATGCTGATGAATGCAATAAAGCGTCCAAAGGTGCCTTCATTATTATTAGAGTCTAATTAATCAAGGTTCTGCACATAGTAAGAGTGACATTATTATTGCTTCTGGACCAATTATGGTACACGTGCATAAGATTGGGAAGTTCTCTATGTACATGGTAATAAAATACACTTCTCTAGTTTTTAATATAAGACTTGATTGACTGATTTAGATAGTTTTAAAAAGTTAAAAAAAATTACTTAATTATAATATATGTTACATAATTTTTTAAAATACTTTTATATATTATTAGATTATATATTAGTTCATAAGTTAAGCAAATTGGTTTGAAAAAAAATAAGACATATAAATATTTTAAAGTAACTTTTAAGTTTCCTTAATCTTTTCCAATTAGTGAACTTGCTAGGTCTCTCAGTAGTCTATTTCTCTTAACTTTTCATATGTTATAGTAAAATATTAGTGCTAGAAATTCAGCTTTATATATATGTTTACATGTGTATATCAATGCAGATATATGCACGCATTAGTACTGCACGTAAGTATTAGTACAGCGTTTTTTTGGACAACCAGGGAAGTCGGGGGGAAAAACAAATGCATCATTCAAGAGACATATGATCATACATCGCTAGCATTATTACCCTCTAATTGAAATTTGCTTTGTGTCAAGCCCATGCTTCTTCCTTCCCCAATTTTCCCATGCTTTATTAGAATATCTATGTGTGTATATATATATAGTACTACTATAAAATATTTATGTGTGTATATATAGTACTACTATATATGTCAGTTAATTAAGCTTATAGTGGTGAAGAAAAGGGCACGTATAACAGGGAGTCAAATTGGCATGATTTCTTCATTAAATTTGATTGGTCCAGTGGTGTTATGAGAATGGATTAAAGTTTCAGACTGCTCTTTTTCAACAGTCACTCCTATTTTCAGGATCCGAACTGGTGAACAGGTTGATGTTTCTTTCTTGGTCCATCTCATTGCATAAACACGTTTGGATCCGTAGATATATATCTATTTGCTGTGATTGTGATTAGGAAATGTATAAAACCAAGTAGTTCATCTGCTCAATATGTGCAGCTGTCTTCTTGTGGTTTGGTGAACTTCTTAACGATAATTAAAGAGTCCCTGCTTGGATGGCGCGCTGTTCATATTAGGTTATCCTTTTATACGCCTTTTATTAATATTCTCTTTTTCTACCATATTTTATTATTAGTCCTTCACTTCTTAATATGAAATCTATTTAATTAGATTAAGAAAGTTAGGTAGGTTAGTTAATTATAAAAAATATAACATGTTTTTCTTAAAACACCATGATTATTTTTCTTGATATCCTTTCTCCCTTATTTACTTGATTATAATTAAGAAAGTATCCATAAGGTAATTTAGGAAAAACGAATAAATATGAAAAATAAGTTTTATACTTAGAATCAAAATTAACTTAATAATTATATCATATATTAAGGACAGGGGAGTATTATTATTGACATCAAGACTCTATGGAGCAAGTTTGGGTATATACAATTCTGAACACAACTTTTTAGTAAAAATCATTTCATATTCCCTCTTGATTTCTTTGAGACAATAGAGCCAGTATTTTTTTCTATCACTAAATTTACACGAAATAAATGTGCCGGTAATTTCTTACACTAATCTTATTCAGTTTGCAGCTTACAAATACTTCTTTATTATAAGCCATTTGGATAAATTTTAATTAGTCCGCTCTAAATTAGAAGGAAAAAGACTCAAGACCCGCTTTAAAACGGCGTCGTAGAACTGCTGGAAGCAGCGTCCGCGCGATTTTTGACAGCATGTCCCTCGACTGAGACAAAAAAAGGGGAAAAAAAAAAAAGATAAGAAAAGGGCCTCGAAAACTAAGTCGCGAGAGCACTGGTCATTTTCCTCGATACAAACGAGGCCTCCCTTCTCTTCTTTGTCTTCTCAAAACCTCCGCCAAATTTTGCGGCGACTTCTCCAACTTCCCTCTATAATTCCATCTTCCTTCTTTCTCGACCTCGCACACACACAATCCTTCCTCTTCCTTTCTACTTCCTCCTCCTCACATCTCTCCTTCTCGCTCTCTTCCACTTCCATCCACAATGTCCCAGGTGGTGGCCACGCGCTCCATTCACAGCTCCTTCGTTTGCCCCAACCCTGGATCTGCACAACCCAGGGCTGAAAACTCGTTAAAGCCTTCGACTTTTGCTTTCAATGTTTTCTCACCTAAGAAGACTTCCAAGTTGGGCTTCCACAGAAGGCCATGCCAGATCACTGCAAGGAAAGCTGCTCTTTCACCTGCTGAAGTAGTTCCCGTATCACCCGAGGATGATTTGAAGGTTCGTACATTTCATCATTTGTTATGAAACTGCCTCGATTTTGCGACGGAAAGTTGGGAATTGCTTATGAGTCTTGTTCGGTGTTCTTAGATTGAGGAGCAGTTGCAGCATTTGCGTGGAATCCAGCAATTCGGTGACACTTCAGCTGGTATGTGGTCGAAGCCCACTGTTAGAAGGAAGACGAAGATAGTCTGTACGATTGGTCCTTCTACTAATACTCGGGAAATGATCTGGAAGCTCGCTGAGGCTGGCATGAATGTTGCTCGCCTCAATATGTCTCATGGGGACCACGCTTCTCATCAGAAAGTTATCGACTTGGTTAAGGAGTATAATGCACAATCTAAGGATAACGTGATCTCGATTA